AGCGTAGTGCCATAGTATATAATATGACTTTAAAATCTCACTGTGGCCCTCAATCCTTTTATTTCTCCTTGGTTAGCTTCCTCACCCTCTGTACTCAATGACTGTGAAATTCAAGATCTTTGTCTCTGTCTTAGAAGACCATACTCTCAATCCTCTGCACCACTCCAATAGTACATAAAGTTGCCTCCACTTCATGGAGAAAATTAAAACCACTAGGTGAACTGCTCCAGCCTCTCCCATAATTTTCTTACAATCTTACATCCTTCCCCACCTTGATCTGTGACCCAAAGGTCTAGAGAAAGAGGTGCCTTTCCTCTGCTTCCAGAAAACCATCTCACTTGTGCTGTTGATGTCTTTCTGTTCCCTGCCATCACCCTCAAGGCCTTGCTCCATCCTTTGTCCTTCTATCCCCTAGACAGGCAGCCTCTACCTTTCCTAATTCTCTTCCCTATGACCGACCATTCCTGTCCTAACACCTTCCCTTCACTCTGCGTCTCCCTCTAGCTGTTTTTCTACTGTCTCAAACCTTCTTAAAGATTAATCTGCATTTGCAGTCTTCACTTTCTCATCTCTCCTTTACCCCTTAACTCCCTGTAGCACATGCTCCCACTAGTCTAGTAAAACTCCAGTCGCTGGCTGGAGTTTAGTTAAAAATGCAGATTCTGGGTTTAAGCAGACCTATATTTGACTCCTGCTTCCTCCTCTTATGAAACTGTGAGACCTTGAGCATGCGGCCTAATTTTCCTTTGCATCAGTTTCTTTATCTCTAAAATGGGGATAATAATGGTAACAAACTTCATAGGGTTCTTGTAATACTAAATATTTAAAACATTTAATGTGTGTACATGCCATGTGCTCAATAAATGTTGTTATTGTTTCTAGTAGTAGTATTTGCATTTTCATGATGATTATCATTGTTGTTTGTCAGGTAATACACTAGGTCTAACTGAAAATCCTGGACTTAGGAAAAAAAAAGTCCTACTAGACTCATGCAGCCAAGAAAAACTACTTTGCAATCTCCTTATATAATATATCTTATCTCTTGGTCTAGGATAACCTTTTCCAAACCAGGATCCTGATCCTAGGAACCTCCTTTCCATACTGATTCTGCATTATTCTAGCCAGCTCTACAGGCATACAGGAGCACACATGTGTATGTAATTGATTAGGCAAATGTATTTGTATCATGTGAAGCAATATGAAAATACTTAATTTAGCTCACTGTAGGAACTTTAATCTATGCTGCCTTTGCACAGCAACAGAAGTATCTACACCAATGTTTGATATGCAGCTGGTGATCAATCACTACTAATGGACAGGTAGTTCTATAAAAGGACTTCATCCATCCCATGTTCAGTCACAGTAAGAAGAGAAACAACATTTTTAGCATCATGTTTGAATCCTACCTGACAACTTGGAAATTGCAATCATACAAACCTATGCAGGCAAGTAAATGCTTTGCTTTGCTGCTCCACCAGAGATCATACCTAACCGTCATTGATATTCCATGACTAATCACTAAGAAGGATAGCATGGGGCATTCATTCCCTTCCTTCATCTTCTTGCTGTTCTCAGTTTCTTCCTGTTACAAGCTGTGTGTGGCAATATTTATTTTAATTAGGAAGAGTTAACATAGGCAAAGGTAATTTTTAATAGGTATGTTCAGTAAGGAACCAAATTGCACTGAAAGATCTCAAACTGTAACGAAAACAGCTTCATTTAGGCATATAATTTTGTTTGTCTACCAATTTACTTCTTGGGACAAGCTTGTAAATGCCCATGTCTCATGCTGGCACTGTTAGGTGAGTCTTGCTTTCAGTAGAAGTATAGTGCGGGGTTCAACTGGGAGCCACCTTCTCTTGGGCGGACGGTTCTTTCACCACTGGTATCTCATGCTGGGATCCTGCACACTGTTGATTCCTACAGGATTCTACAATAATCTACATTACAGGCAAAGGAAATAATTCCTGGGTTTTTGTCTGTCTTTAACATTTTTCCTCCCCTTTTCTATCAATATGTCAAAAACAATTTGGATCCTAAAAATCTGATTGGAATTAGTCGACTAGAGGATGAAGAATTCACACATGGAGAGTAAAACCATGGTGGGGATGATGATGACAATGATGATGATGATTAAACAGCTAATATTTACTAATCATTTATTTGTACTAGACCCTATGACAACTACTTAACATCTGCTTTTACTTTGATCCTTCCAACAACTGTGATATGTTGGAGTTATTACCCCATTTTATGTATGAGAAAACTGAGGCTTGTCAAAGTTAAATAACTCACCTAAGTTCACACAATTAATGAGACTCAAGGCTGGGATTCCAACCTAGATCTATCAGAAGCCAAAGCCCATTGACATTATAAATCATGTGTCTCATGATAACGAATCCTTTTTTCAACTTATTTTTAACCAGTTTGTCCAAAATTAGATTTAAGCTTGATTTTACTATCAATGGTCTGCCACAGAAAATCTATATATTTTTATAATAAAAAAATTAAGTTCCCCATTGAAGAAGTGGGGAAAGGACATAAATAGTCAATGAATAAATAAAGCAAAGATTAAATTTTGGGTATTCAAAACTAAAGGGAATTCAGTTCAATCCAAGAAACCGTGCCCAAGTGATGTGGTATACAAGGCACTGTAAGAATTCAAAGATGAAGACAGTATCACCCCTGCCTGAGAGAAGCTAATGATCTAATGGGAAAGACTCAGTATAATATTTCTGGTAGTACTTACTTCAAATGTCACCTCCTCAGATAGGTCTCCCCTGACCACCCTTTCTAAGCAGTAACCCCATTCCCTGTCACTCTCTATCACAGGGATCAGAAAGCTTTCTTCGTAAAGGGTGAGATAATTAAAAATGTAGGCTTTGTGGGCCATACAGTCTCTGTCAAATTACCAAACGCTGCTGTTGTAGTGTGAAAGCAGCTATAGACTATAAGTAAATGAAACAAGGCTGTGTTCCAATAAACTTTATTTATACAACAGGCAGTGGGCCAGATACAGTGCACAGGCTATAGTTTGCTGACTTCTACTCTAACATATCCCTCTATTTTTTTTCCCTTCATAGCACTTAACAAACTCTGAAATTATCTTGCTTATTGATTTGTTTACTGTCTATTTCCCTCCCCTAAAATGGCAGCTCCAAGAGAGTGGGGTCCATGGTGTTTGTTACAGCTAGCTCTCCGGTGCCTAGAAAGGAGTTCCTGACAAAGAGATGGTTCACTCTAAGTATCTGTTGACTGACTGAATGAATACAAAGATTGAAGGAGAAACACAGATTGCCAACAAACATATGAACTATATTCGGCTCTGTTAATAATAAAATGAAATAATGACATACAATTTTTCAGTTGTCAGACTTAACAACTATGAAAAGAGGAGGAGGAGCAGGAGGAGAAAAACTAGCGTAGATGAGTGTGTGGGTAAACTGGCCCTCTCATCTTTGGTTGACAGGAAAGAAAATTGGTGCAAACAACGTTTCTGGGGGGTCGTTTGCAATTATATATCAAAATGTATACACCAACTCAAAAATAAGCAAAGAATTAAATAATATCTCATTAAAAAGATTTACAAATGACCAATAAGCACATGAAAAGATGCTCAACATCATGAGTCATTAAGGAATTGTATATCAAAATCACAATGAGACACCACTTCACACCGATTAGTATGGCTATTATCAAAGAAAAGGGTGGGGGGTAAATAACAAGCATTGGAGAGAATGTGGGGATATTGGAACCTTTGTGCATTACTGGTGGGAGTGTAAAATTGTACAGTTGCTGAAGAAAACAGTTTGGGGGCTCCTCACAAAGTTAAACATAGACTTAAAACATAATCCAGCAATTCCACTTCTAAGGATATACCCAAAAGAATTGAAAGCAGGGACTCAGACAGATACTTGCACACCAGTGTTCACAGGAACACTATTTACAATAGCTCACAGGTAGAAACGACTCAAATGTCCACTAACAGACAAATGGATAAACAAATGTTATATACATACAATGGAATATTTTTCAGCCTTAAAAAAGAATGCAATTCTGAACATGACTAACTTTGAAAACGTTATGTTAAATGAAATAAGCCAGACACAAAAGGACAAATATTATGATTCCATTTATATGAGCTACCTAAAATAGCAAAATTATAGCGACAGAAAGTAGAACAGGAGTTACCAGGAGATGGAGGGAGGGGGAATGGGGAGATATTGTTTAATGGGCACAAAGTTTCTATTTGGTATGATGAAAAAGTTCTGGAGATAGATGGTGGTGATGGCTGCACAACATTGTAAATGTATTTAATGTTACTAAACTGCACAATGAAAACTGGTTAAAATTGTAAATTTTATATTATGTATATTTTACAATAATAAAGTATATATAATTTTTACTCCAAAATCCAATTTCTAAGAATTAACTCTGAGAAAATAATGCAGAAGGTGAAATACATATGTACTAGAATCTATCAACCTCAAGATCTGACAATAAAGATCTAGCCATGTAAATAGCACCTGACACAATGAATACATAAAAGAGACTATTATGCAGGCATTAACCACTACAGGTAGATTTTTCATATAAAAATATATCCATGGCATTATTGTTCAATGAAAAAAGCAATTTTCAGAATGTGTAAAGTATGATCCCATTATTATAAAAAATTCTAAAGTTTATCTGTACATGGAGAAAATTCTAGATAATAGGAATTATTGTTAAGAGGATTTATTGTTTGAATGGTAGATTTGGGGTGAATTTAAAATTACTCTCTTCATAATTTTCTGTACTAGTTGAATTTCATTTTTATGAAGAATATTTTTAATCAAAATAATATCCTATTGTAAACTCATGTTTATCATTTTTTCATGTTAATTAAAGAGGGTGAGGCCCTTGATACATACAATTAGATGTGTTTTGTACTTCCATTTTCATGGCAATAATAATACTTGTGAGTGAATAAGATACAGTTTTAAAGGAGAAGTACATACCTCAGATAGTGGTGTTGTCTCTCTATCAGACAGAAACAGAGCCTTTATTTCAGAGCAACATTGAATAATCATCTTCTAGAAATAAGAAGACAACATAGTAAAGTTGATATTACTGGTAAAATGTTACATATTTAATTATAAACTATTTATTCATTTGTCTTTTTGAGTATCATCAGCTAACCCTAGCTCCCAGGATAAAACAGAGGGACTCCCAAGTCACAATACCTTAAGTAGTTAGGCTTACTTGAATTGTACTTACTTGTATAATGATAACCACAAAATATGAGATCTGAAATTAATCATGAATAATATGTTATTTTAAGATTCATTCTCTGCACATTCACTGTTAAAATTAATATGTTACAGAGGAATCACAAGTAAAGTAATTCACACCAAAATAAAATTTTAGAAAGTGACCTTTATTCTGAGAAGAGAGCCCTGCAATAAAGAGATTCATATCCCTGAAGGGGACTTAAGCAGAGAAGAATGACTGGGAATTGGGAAAGAAATGGGAAGAGTGAATGAAAAGGAAGGGCAGAAGTCAATAGCGTACACGCATTGTCTACTGTTGGTGACACTACCCACACCCCCATGTATGCACACAGCCATGTTTATATGTGGGCATCTGACCCAAGAGGGACCAACCCGTGGGCAGGGTTGACTCAATCAGATTTCCTATCATTGTGACTTCCTGTAAGGAAGGACAACAGAGGAAAATTACAGCCAGTACTGGCCAGGTGAGTTCTAGAGGTCCCGATGCAGAGTTGGCGAAGACAGCTGTTGGTCCAGATGTGAGGAGTTAGAGGAGGGAACAGAGATGAGTAAAGCCACACCCCCTGCGGGACTGAGTGCAGTCTTGGCTCCTGACCATCCAGTTCCACTTTGTGGGGGGCCCACTGTGTTGTGTTTCCAGTCCTTGGCTATGCACAAGCTTGCTAATCACCCTCGGACCAACACTGCTTCCCCACCAAACCTAATCTCCTTGAGCTAGTGTAAGTAGTGTTTTCTTTACATAAGTACTAAAGGAGTCATGATCACAAGATTGTCAGAGATAAACTATGCCCACTTCATAATGTTGTCTGTGTCCAGCCATAAAGGAAGCAACAAATTGTTTCTGTGATAGTTTTAATATATACATGTACTACCATTCAGAATATTAAAGCGACAAAAGCACATTAATTTTTAAATTATAACTGAGCAATCCTGGTTAAAACCTTAAAATAAAGAAGCAAACAATGATTGAACTCACAGACCAAAACCTTGTTCTAAGTTTTAGTAAATGCATAAACACGGAAAGGATCAAATTTTAGAGTTCTAAAACTATAGATCATTCAATTCAATTTAACAGTTATATTCAAGACATTATGTTAGGGGCTGGGGGACACAATAATGAAGAAAACAGACCCTCTCCTCACAAAATATGCAATTATTGAGAAACATAGATTTGTACACAATTAAATAAAATACCAAGTGGAATGTGGTCAGATCACAGGTAGTTATGATATGTTAGAGGACCCTAGAAGTGGGAGAGAGAATTCTTAGTATTACGAACATGGAAGACTTCCTGGAGGAAGGGTTATCTGAACTGAGCCTTGAAAGGACAGTAGGATTTCTACTGGTAGAGTATGGGGACAGGAGCAGTCCAGAGGGAGAGGGCCAGGTAAGCACTAAGTAGTGGACACTCCAGGAACAGCAGGACTCTGAGGTGGTCTTCACTGTAGGTGTGTACAGGGAGCACAGCAGTGAGAGGGTGAGAAATAGGCTGGAGAGGTACATTTATATAGGGCATGTAAAAGTAAGGAGTTTGGATTTTACTGTGTAAGAAATTTAGAGGGACTGAACGAAGGGAACAACGATCAAGATTGCTTTTAAAAGATAATTCTGACAACAGTTTAAAGGTGAACTGGACAGGAAAGAGACAAGAGAAAAAGATACCAGCTAGGAGCCTACTCAAACATTTGGTCAGGAGGTGACTGTGGCCAGAAGGTGGCCAGCTTCAGTGGAACTAGTAAGGATGGACGGCAGGAGGGTGCCCAGCACTGATCAGGGCATTCCAGTGTCTTATCCTGAACTTCCCAGCCCCTGGTCCACTTCACTACATAGAGGGGAGCACGCAGCCACTCCTATCTTCCTCCTATTTATCTATATTTCTATATTTCTAATTGAGTTCTTATGACTAGATAAAGAATGTTTTATATATATATGGTTTCAATAACAGCCATGACGGGCTACTATCAGGATTGCATCAAAAGCTATCAAGCAACATGGCACTGTCTGTTTCATTAATCATTTCTCATAACAGATGGAGAGAGCAACGTTACCCAATGGATGCCTTCCTTCCACCACCTGTCTCAACAGTTATCAAACAGAAATTTCTCCTCAACAACATTCTTTTACTCTGGCTTATTTGAGGTAACCCCCATATACACGTTCTGAAATTGGCTGACTCAAGTCTGGGGCTGTGAGAACCTCGTGTGACCTCGTTACCACTGAAACGAAGACGGAAAGCACAGAGATCATCAATCTCAGTCAGAAAGCAGTCAGACGCCTGCTGCGGGGGGCGAGGGGCTGGGGAGGGCATGGAACGACCCTTGCTCAACCTTTGCCATTTCTCCCATAACAGGAACATCTGTTGGTTCCATGAGGGATGGCCTTCTGAGTGACTTCAAGATATTAAAGCCAATTCTGGACTTAGCTGAAAGCCTCATCATCTTTTACTCATAATGTGGAAAAAATGTCCTAAACTGTTTTCCAGCCTCCGAACTCCTGCTTCCTTCACCTCTCCTTCATGTGCCACCACAGTTGTCGTAACAAATCGTAGGGTGGATCATGAGATGCCGTTCCAGGTGAGATGCTGCCAAATCCCAGC